CTACAGAAAGTTGGTATGAAAACGCTCATTCCATGTAGCAAAATAATTTTAATTACTTACTTTTCTAGCAAGTCAGAGAAGGAGAAACCGTGAAGTCTTTGGACCCACTACTCTATGTTAAAAAGTACACTATCACTTAATGACAATATTGATATCAGTAAGTTTACTCCGTTATTAGCGTTGTTAAAAAGGAAAAGTGAAGGATACGAGACAAAGAAGAAAGAAATATTTTCAAAAGAAGAGTGGCAAAGTACGCCATTGATTTAGTAATGAAGTACATTACCACATTAGGATGGTAAAGTACTACATTACGAAACTGATTTTAATGGCGTAATGTTTGACTTTACCTAAGCCAAGTGGAAAAAATAAACTGTGTAATTTGATCCATTTCTTGAAGTGAATTTTAAGTAATTTTATTTTCATAATAGTTATGCTTCTAAATGTCTAATTCTGTAATAAAAGCAATAGAGCAATTTAGCATTCCACTATGCGAAACCTATAAATACAGTACTCCAATCAAATCCATGAGTCATTTCAGGAAATTAATGTGGCCAAAAGAACATCTACATGTATCAGCAATTTAGAATTGCTTTATCCTAATGAAAATTTAATTTGAAGGAAAAACTAATAACCGTCTCAATTTGCTTCAATTTGTATCCCAATTTATCATGATTTCTATTGAAATTTCTAGACTACTCCCAATGATGTAAAATAATTGCATATCCTGGATTTTGTGGATGTTTCTGTGATGGCGAATATTGTTTAAAATTATAGAAAATGTAAAATATTACATGTTACGTAAAATGAATGGAAAACAATGTAAAATATATTACATAATATTGCCACAATTAAAGTATGTAACATATGATAGACTTTGTGAAATAAACGTTATTAATATACTAATCTAATTAATATACTAACAATGTACTAATTTTAATTTGGAATGTAAAACCATTCAGAGCGGCCTAAACAACAAAAAAGGCCATTATTCTACTCTAAAAAATATTTTCGTATTTTTACAATTTTTACGTGTGTGTGTATGCGTGTGTATAGTTGCGTTTGAGACAAGCTCAGAAACCCTTCAATGCTTTTGAGAAGCGAAGAGTAACTATGAAGCAGCCACGCCAAGTAATTCGCATCAGAAACAATGTGGTCTGTTATCTGCGGCCTGCGGATTTCCGACATATGGCCAACGCGGAGGGGTCCGTTTCACCATCCCATTAAAAAGTGGAGCAGCTGACCGCTCCAGCCTTTCTGTACGAAACGCCGTGGTGAGCAGACGTGTTCGGTGAGCGAGGCCGGATGGGCGTAGCCAACATCTTGTCGCGTGACATAGTGTCGATAGTAAGAGAGCAGGAGCGAGTAGATGTGAGTTGTAGAATATTTAAGAAGTTGTAAAATATTTGACAGTTGTTCAGCAGCTAATTGAATTGGGCGAAATTGGAGAAGATTTAGGAAGTTATGTAGTATTCGATGCAACAGTTAATTGAACTGGGTGCGGTTGTAGAGGATTAGGGCGGAGAATAGTAGTCATCAAGAGAAAGCGAAGACTATCTATCACGAGGCGTCATAAGACTTTGAATTTCGCAACACAAGTAAAAGATGTTGAAATACGCTGAAACTACGCCGCTAATAAAACGCGTCGGAACTGAGTATCGCGAGTCGCCGTGCTACGGGCATGTGTAGTGAAGACTGAAGCAGACGAGGACGTGAGGAGTCGAGAGCCAAGAGAGAAGCGTGGGCGCTGATTCCGAGGAAAGGATGACGAAGGCAACAGTGTTCGTGCAACATTAAGGACAGAAGAGGTGGACAGAAGAGGTGGACAGAAGAGGAACGACTGTGCGGCCGAATTTGGGGCAAGGTCAGGCGCGGCGACGGAGAAGCAAGGTTGGCAAGCAGCGACGGCGCTACTGCAGGTAATAAATTTTGTAACGGGAGGCGAGAGAAGGCAGAGCCACAAGTTCCGGAGCAGTAGCAGAAAGACAAGATTTTTAATTTCAATTATTACGTATATTTTGTTACGAAATATATCACGACAAATAACGGAAAAGAGAACCTTGTAAGCGAGTAATACAGTTCATTTGTGTTTAATGTTCACGAGGAAAGTATTGTAAATAGCAGTGTAAAACATGTTTTTAATTATGTGTATATTTTCAAGGGAATTAAATGTAAATAACTGTATAATTAAATACGTTATTTAGTATTGGTTGCGAGTATTTTGAATCAACAGAATTGTGTAGAAGTAGAAATAATTTACTGTGTTTTGTAATAATTGAGAAAAGGTATGTTTAACGTTTTGTTGCTTTCAAACGGTGATGCCCGGAATTACCGTGCACGGAGCAGGGAAACTGATTAGGAGGAAATATTCCAATCGAAGTTGACGAGTTGTGTAAATTTTTCAAAGTTAACATGGGTAATTTGATTCTGTATTATACTTGTATGTGTTATTTGCCATTCATTCTTTGCGTTTGTTTAGTGCCTGTTATCTGTGGTAGTATTCTGAAAAGAATATAGGCACTGGTTTACGTTATTCTGTGACTTCGAGTAAATCTTTCTCAAACTTCAGAGATCCTGCCCCCTGAGATTTCAAAGCTCGAACTGTATCGTAATAAAACAAAGAAAGAGAAAGTAATCCGCACCTAATTATAATGCTGTAATCACTTAGTTAATTTTCTTTGTCCGCAGCACAAATCAACTTATTCTTAGACTGGATCTCTAATTCACAGTTACACACAGATTTGTGATTTACCATAATCAATTTACAATTTTAAAACAATTTCTCTTCCAAATACAGTAACTAAATGCGTTGTAAAATCAATATAAGGGCTGTCTCAGTTGTATCTTTGGGAGGAATTTTGGAGCACACACCGGTTTTAGCTTTCACATCTTTCACGAGCACTTGGTCTCATGAGAACCGCACCGCCGACATGCCCTCTCAGATCCACCGAGGTCCGCCCGTTCGTTCCCTTCGACCAATTCCACCTTCTTTTCTTCTCTCTTCTCCTACCCCAAGACACGCCCGCTAGTTCGCCTCTTCTTTCTTCTTTGCCCGCCTCTTCTTCTCTGTTCTATCTTCCGCCTCGATCAATAAAGGGAAACGCCTTCTAGCGAAGATGCTGCACGACGCAACAGGTTAGTTGCGTATGAATTTGCTGGCGTTCTCGCAGCACTTACGGCACACTCACAGTTCTTTGCGCAATTAATAATAGCTATTGCAGTTCACAGTACGTCAATTCGTTCACTCAACTGAACGGCTGTTGATTACTTCCTGAAATATTACGCTATCCACGCAAATTCACCAAATCTATCACTCCGTTCAAGCAATAGAGGTCTATACTGAATTATTGTTTCTCCTTCAACTCCTATTCTCATTCTGCGAGTTCTACTCACTTCACATACTTCCCTTTCGACTAGTACATTTAATTACTCTGACGTCTCTCACTATAATCAACTTCGACAGCATCTAATGCTGCAGCTCGGCCACAAAAACGTTTTACCACAGCAGCTCGGACGAAAAGCACGTGTTACAAGGGCGGCTCGGGCGAGAAGAAGCTCCGGTCCGCTGGACAGCGTATTTATGTGACGCAGCTTTCCTTAGAGGAGTGGGACGCGTCAATGCCCCTTACCGTCTTGACCAATGCACCTAAAGTGCCGTGTTGAGTTGAGTTCAGCAAATACGAGTGCCTAGATGACCACGACGTTGCGAGCTCTTCTCTCTTACGTACAAATGAGTGTTGTAGCCGCGTAGGCGGCTATAGAGTTTGGCGAATACCCCAAAACGTCACAATATATTTTTATTGGGGTGACTCTTATTTTGAACAATGTGAAATTTTATAGACAGCCCCCCGTAAATTGGTTTAGAATGTCAAAAAAATAAACCCTGAATTTATTCAGATTTTTTCAATCAAAATCACCAGTTGAAATATAACACGGATTTTAAATGGGCTTTTCTGACAATAATAGACTTTCTAAGGTTACTTTTAGAAATTTATTTCTAACATTATGAAACTTGGTACTTAATTTATTAGGGTCGCTGAGCTCGAATTTGCAGTCAAAAATTAATTTTGAACAGTGTAAGCTGTCAAAACTGTCATCAATTTAAAGCAATATAACAATTAAAAAATATTATGTATTGTCATTTCATTCGTTTTTCGAGTAGCTGAATTCTGTGGTGAAAAAATTCATTTTTGACAGTCATAGCTGTCAAAAATGTCATCAATTTCAACAAATGTTTTCACTTAAACAATTATTGTGATGTCATGTAATAGGTTTTGAAGTCGCTGAATGCAAATTTGATGTCTAAATTTCAATTTGACATCAAATTTGAATTCTGCGACTCAAAAAAAATTAGAAAATGACAACTTCTGTTCGACGATTGTTCCCCGAGATTTTTCTTCAATACGTTGAACAACTTCAAATATCGCGCTGCTGCGCCATAGGCGCTGTTTGCTAGGTCGCGGGTCAAAACAATCAGTTTAAATACTTTTCAGAGGAACTAAAAAAATAATCGTAGCTGTCGTAGACCTCAGCTTCATGAGAGAACGCAAACCTCCTCGCCCGCACGGTCGGTGCTACTTTAAGACGGTGTCTCCTGGAGGAGAATGACTGGTGACGCAACTGAGAAAATGTGAAACCCGTATGTAGTGGATAATACCAACTACAATCTTATGCATTAAGTAACTATTCATGTACAATGCGTAATACTTATTGCAGAATACACAAATTATGCATTAAATATATCAATGCCTTTTCAATTACATTCATTTGCTGATAATATGGAAATTGAACAAAATAATTCCATTTTAGAATTTCAAAAAAAGACTGGCATTAAAAAAACCTTGTCACTGTATATAAATTTATAAGGAAACAAGAAATGTAACTCTAGAACAGTCATAGTCACGAATTCTTTAAGGAGACTTAACAACTGTGTTGTAAGCATGGGGGTATGTACGAAAATCGTCGGCAGATAATCGGACTCTGCTAAGGAAATTATCTCGTATTTTTTTCCGCCAATAACGTCGCGTGTACACATATTTGACTGACGTCATCTACACTTTGGCGTTGATTTGATATATGAGCTAGAGCCCCTAGACGGAGTCTAATATGATTTTGTAGGCCATTGGCCGCAAATTCCTTTAAAGGTTCTTCCATTACTCATGTGATGCCGCTGAAGCTGAGTGCGTCCTATTAGCCGCCGACCCTTTTCATACATACCCCTACTCTCGTTACAGACTTCTTGACATAGTTATTATAATGTACATTTGTTTGTGAGAGTCTGTAAATGGTTAAGATGAACAGATTTATTTTGGAGCTACATGATTGATCGTTGTAAAATAATCGAGTCTGATTTGCAACTATGTTATTCAAGAGTGTAGCAAAATAAAAATATCTGCCTTTCTGTAAGATATAAATTAAGACTTGTCTCAGAATTCATATTTTAAAGATTCTTAACGTAACAAAATAAAAAATGTCTAAGTGATATAGTTATGTAAGCAACTTTCAGAAAGTCTTTGGTATGTATTTCATGCAGACTTTGTAAGCCTTATACTAAGCAACGCAACTTGACGCATACACTATGTGCTATGCTGTCCACATTGAGCTTTCTTTTCGTTCACAGGATCTGATCAACACCACCTAGATATAGGTGGTATAGGTAGCAATAGGTAGATGTAGGTAGGTATGTAGGTGGTGTTGATTTAACTCAGTAAACGAAAAATTATGCTCTATTAGAATCAAAGGAAAATTTATTAACATAACAATGAGTAGTGTGCATGCACCTACAGACGATAAAGAAAATGGAAAAATAAAATTTCTATTGTCAATTGAATTTCATGACGCCAAGGCTATACATAAAGAGCCGTATTGCGACAGACGATAAAGAACAAGAGGGATCACCCTATTCAGTCATATTTTTCAATTGCTCTTTGGCAAGATGGTGGTAACGAGTTTTTAAGACATAGGCGGCATGCTTAGGTTGTCGTTCTCTGGTGAATATGCCCTTCTTGTTTCCTTGAGCTCTAGTGACAGCTACAAAATAAAAAAAAGTATTAAATCCCGGATCAGAACACGTAGACCGTTTTTTTCAACCTCCGATTGAGCTGTTAAACTGCTAGTAGACTAGTGTACTTAGAAGGACCATACGGAGAAGGAGATATACCATTTGAGAAGGATGTGTAAATTGCGAATGTCATCGTAACCTCTGCTACTACCGACGCATTATCGCTAAATCGAGCTGAGCTTCAGGAACGTGAAGATGGCTGGCGCGAACTGCTTAATATCAATCGCTGTTCTCAATAAGAATCGAATAGTAGATCCGAAAATCACCGAAGAATTGCCTGAATCTTAAAGGTAATTATGTAAATAAGTTGTTTCTAATATTTTTGGAGACAATCGGGGGTTGACAAAAACGGCTCTCGTATATTGCATTATGATGTCTGATAAAAAATTACATTGTTTGGTAGCAAAATCAGCAAAATTCCAAACCATTTCTCCAATAAAAAAACCTTTTTTTCTCAGGTTATCAAAGGCTTTGAAGTGTTCATGTAAGAGATCAACTTGATAATCTTCTGTCCAAACAAACGATGGTAACTGGATAGAAATAAAAAGATAAGGTTGGCTCTGAAATACTTCTCAAATGTTTCACAGGTATGATAATATAAATTGAAATTACCTGATGAAATCCGGAGATAGTATCTGCGCCGTATTCGCTCATAAATATTGGCTTTTTGCATACGTTATGCCACTTGGTGTATTCCGTTTCTACCTGACGTGATACAAGCTCTAAATCTCCAGTATCAGAATACCATGAGAAGTAGCGATTTACACCAATAACATCCATGAAAGGTGCCTGGAAAAATTTAGGAATTAAAACCTTGTTAGTCCGAAGTTCTAACACCTAAAAATTACTCTGATAATATATTACATAAAAAACTTCCATAATAATTTCCACGGGCCCACTGCAGCACATCTGCCACGGAAGGAAGGAAGGAAGCCGACGTAATCAGGGCCAATAAACCCTTAGACTCTATTTGTCAACGCGGTGCCGCGCTGAGGCACAGAAAAGTCCTCAAGGCCAAACTTGTAATCGTAGTTATAGGATAATTTTTATCTATCACTCCTACTTTAGTTGTAAGTTCTTTCTATTTTTTTTTTATTCACAATCTTCCTTGTTTATCAATGTAACTTCCCTGGTACAGACATTGCCCAGGAATAAATGTTATTTTTCTTTACCAGTGACCAGATTGTTTTTTTATGTCCGTAAATTTATCTTATAATTCCTTCCGTCACCTAGTGTAAAGATAAGAAAGGGTAAGAGAACCGACTGAGCTAGGACCGAGCCGCTACCGCCCATTTCCGACGATCACACGTCGCCGGGACTGCGTGGGGGCGTAACAATATGAATACCGGTACATTATTATATCGTTTCTGTCTTTTTTCACGCATTTCAAATTCAAATCCCATTTCTTTCAATAAGCGATAAAATGTAGGGAATCTGAATTTTTTGTAAATGATTATCATAGGTAATACCACGAGTGCCTTGGAAATTGTCGATAAATTCCCAACTGGCGAAGCGAGAAAGGGATTTATCTAAGAATTTCCAAAGCAGGAGTGGTATTTGGTATTTATTACCACCATTCTACGAGTGAAATTATATCCAAAAGAGTTCCGAAATGCGCCAAATATTAAAAATAACTAAAAGCTTATGTTAAATCAGAGGTTATGTTGTAGTACATACGTTGTTTATTGGACACCGACTTAGCGATCGATGTATAACGCCTCCTAAGATAGATGAGTCACAGTTTATGATTGACCAGTAGGTAGAAGCGGCAAGAAAAATCGAATAGAGAAGAGCTAATCATTCTGAGATACACCGCCCTGATTGGCGCATTTTGCATGTATAGTAAACCACAATTGGTTTTAATTTCATGAGTGGAATAGTCATTAACATCTTTCATTGCATACACGACTGTTGCAGGAATATTTTAAAAATACAAACGAATGGAATTTGATATGCACCGTAAAGATTTGCGATGTATCGTCGTTTCCCTACTGATTGTATACTTCAGTCCATTAATACATTTTTCTCGGCGTCAGTAATTCTCAATTCTCATTTTCCATTTTCATTCTAAAGAAAGGATGTTAACTAATACTATTTGCTCTGCAAAATTCATTCAAACGATTGACTACGTTTTTGGATGTTTTCCTTTTACGTTCTCGAATATTACGACAATGTTTTCTTTTACTTCTTGTAATTATTTCACCCTCTTACACTGTAATCCATTTTCATCTCTTAAAATTGATCTACTACACGATTGACTAAATTATTTACCTATTTTCTTTACAACTTCACATCCCCAAGCAAAAATTGACTGACCAGAATTCCCAGCTAGATTAAATTCTTGAAAGGCTTCTTATGAACATTGCAGAATTGATTTGGATGGTTCCTTTTGCTGATACATCACATAACCAAACACTTCCTTTCATCCCTACGGGTTACACATCCTGCATCTGTACCTTGTCTTTTCGTCGCATCTCCTGTCGCGTGGTACTCGACTTCAAAACAAACATCAAAGACACATGCGTAATGCATCAGGAGACCATCGGGTGATGACAGAAAACAATTTCATCATTTTACCCAAAACTTTGTCATTGGAAGCCAACAAGCATATTCATATTGTACTACGCTTGTATTATTCGTGCAAGTGCAAAAGTAATAAGTTCACAAAGATCTATCACAATCGGGTGAACAGTACGGCAGCGCATAAAATACGAACATATTTTCATGTTTATATATTATATAAATCATGTCGTAACAAAAATTATGGAAAGATAAACAATAAAAACGAAACCTTTGGTATCCAGTACAAAGAAAACTAACTTACTGCCTTATCTTGGTACATATTTCGATTTGTGACAAATCCGACGGGTCGCGTCTTATCCAAGCTCTTAACGTATTCCACAATAGACCTACAAGGTAACAAAATATTTGTTTCTGTTGGAATATCAGGGCAAATAATGATATGTAATAATGCAATCTATGTTCATAACACTGAAAGTCATTCGTGCTTTATACTTACTTATAATAGGGACCTGCTTCCTTGCGTTGAGTTCGCGCTTCGTTGGAGATGGACCACATTATTACGCAGGGATGATTTTTGTCTCTGTTAACCATTTCTGCCATGACACTCTTGTGCTTCTCCAGGAGTACCGAATCAAAATTGCTGGAAAATTGTCCAAAATTAGTATGAAAGTTCAAAGTTTCCGTTGTGAACTAGTGAATTTCATAAAATTATCGGATAAGTTCCATTGGCAAATTTTCCAAATATTATTTTCCCAATTAATTATACATGATGGATCATTCGAAGCGAAACAACACATTCGAATGCGTCTCTATATACTACCCACAGGTATAAATAATTCCTTCATAATTTTTGTTTCATAACAGATGCAATAGTTCAATGGCAACATCGTTGGCTCTGCTGAATTGTTGCCACTCTTCTTTCACCAACTAGCAGAGAAAGGAGGTATTTCTTGGGCGAGAAACAGGCGATTTCAATTTAGCTCAGAGGCGTCATTTAGGCTTGAGAATCTTTAACATGCAAGTAAATCTACTACCATGGGACAGCCAGCTTTACTTCCCCTCCGAAGGAAGGGGAAGAAGAGGATTTTTAAAAATCCACGGCTTCGATCCCGCCAACTTGGGTACAACAATCCGGTAATCTAACCGTTACACCATCGCCGCGGGTGAACACCAACGTTATACCAACGCCGCACGATGGTGGTATATTTCCGACATTGTCTATATAGCTAATCGGATTTTTTTGAATGGAGGGGAATTTTAGCAGCTAGTTACTCTCATCGGTAGTTTTCCGTGATTTCTCCGACCAATATATAAGCAATACCGAAATAACCAGGCCTAATTATTTAGGAATTTTATAAAGGTTTTACAAATATTGGTTTTACAAATATGTTCGCAGAAGAAGAGGAAATAGAGAAGAAATCCCTGTTAGAGATACCAACGGGTTACTAATAAATGATCGGGAAAGAGCAAACGCATTGAATGCCAACTTCAGTTCCATTTAAAACAAAATCTTACCATACTCAGATATCGAGGGAAGCTGTACCCAATCAGTTTAATATAGACGTAAATGCATTGCGAAAGCGAATGAATATTATGAAAAATGGAGTGTCCCGGGGTCCAGATGCCATTTTAACGGACATAATTAAAATCAGTGGAGAGGCAATATTACCGTATCTAACAAGATTATTTCATGTTTCGATCAACAATTCAAGCGTTCCAAAATGGAAGCTAGCTACTATTGTTCCGATTTTTAAGAATGGTGACAGAACTGTTTTAGCAAATTATAGACTGGTAAGTCTTACGTCAGTTGCATGTAAGCTAATGGAACATTTGATAACTAGCTATATTAGACAAGAATGGGAACAAAAATAATGGCTATTTCAGGGACAGTATGGTTTTAGGAATGGTTTCTCTTGCGAGAGTCAGATAGTATCATTCTTTCAGGATATAGCAGACGAAGTTGATGATAGTGGTAGGGTGGATGCCATAATAATAGATTTTGCGAAGGCATTTGATGTTGCCCCACATGATAAACTAGTTCATAAATTAATGCATTCGGGTGTTGACATCAGAGTTGTGGCGTGGATTAATGAGCTTCTTCCACATAGGAGACAGAAAGCTCGAGTTGGACAACAATTTTTAACTCTGGCAGAGGTTACTTCAGGGATTCCTCCAGGAAGCGTTATTGGACCCCTCCTGTTTCTCGTGTTTGTAAACGACCTGCCAGACAATCTATGTTCCAAGGTAAGACTATTTGCAGATGACTATAATATATCGAGTTATTCAATCAAAAGTAGACGAGAATATTTTGCAGGTTGATCTAGATAGATTATATTTCTGGGCAGAAAAAATAGCATGATAATAAATAGTTCAAAAAGCAAAACCATCACGTTTTGTAGGTGCCGCAAATACATTGAAAGTCAATACCGTTTAGGCAAGGAGAATATGCCAAGAGTCCTGGCTTGTACGTACCTGGGAATAATATTTGATAGCAAGTTAAATTTGGAAAATCGGGTAAACTTTGTCGTAGGTAAAGCCTGGAGGTCTTGGCATTTTACCATGCGAATACTAAAAAAGAGTACTGAGAGATTTGTTGGAACCCTTACAGAAATTCACAAAAGAAATATTTGAACAGAGTACAGAGAAGAGCGTGTAAACTTACTTTCCGCAGCAATAGGAAAAAAGTAGATTGGGAGTCTCTAGAAATCAGGAGGGTTAAGGCAAGACTCTGTACCATGTACAAAGCATACGCCGGTTATCCAGCTTGGAAAGATATTTTCATTCGACTTGATAGACCCACTTTCTTTAGTAGAGCGGATCACAAGCACAAAATTCAGTTCAGGACACAGAGAACAGAGGTTGAAAAATTTTCATTCACAAATAGAACAATAACAGACTGGAATAAGTTATCTGCGACAGCCATGGAATCCTTTTCTCTAGGTGTACAAAGTTTTAAAAGTAGATTAACTAAGGACATTTGTATAAGTTAGACTTATTAAAATAGTATTTATTTCAGTTATAATTTTTATTTTTTTATTTTAATAGTATTGTGATAATCACTATTAAATGCATTGGTTTATTAAATATACAATTATATTTAAAATAGTAGTTGAATTAGAGTGTCGTTACGTTTTGTGAAGTGTAGTGCAAAAGAGAAGTAGAGAGAGACGTGAAGTGCAAATGAAGTGAAGTGTAGTGAGGTGAAGTGCAGTGTTTTTATTAGTTAAAAATTCCGTGCAGGACAGTCATAAAGTGCTGTTATTGTTATTATTGCCATAAAATACTTTAAAATTACAGTGTATTACTATTCTTAGTTGTATATGTAAATTGTAGTGTTCTGCCACCAGGTTGTATACCTACCTGCAGAGATAATAAATCTATCTATCTAAAGCATATGAAACACTTCAAGGCATACTAAATAAATTTTTAAAAAATCTTTATATATTCCCAAAAACTAAAATAGTAATAGAAGCATTTTTTACGAATTCTCATGTAATCAGTAACTTTTCTCTGGTTTTGAATATCACTTGTACAAAATGTCATTACCATTGGAATAAAACTCTTAGATTTATATGAAAAACAATTTTTTTTTTCATACGAGAAAAAAATTATTTGAAGAAAAACGGTCTAATTTATTCTTGTCAAATGTACCATTCAGTAAAAGCCGCACTAAAATCGGTACACCCGTTCACGAAATTACAATTCCGGACATCAAAGAGTAACAGCAATGGAAATGTTTTTTATATCCCCTAAAAAAGCTATTATGTCTAAAGTGTCTAATACAAGACACTTATTTTGAAGTCACAGACAGACGCATATTTTTATAGATTATTGTTGTTATTGTTATTATTAGTAATATTGTTTGACAAAACCAAATGAACGCTTCTTGAAGCCACCAAATTTCCACAAAGTAAATGGTCTTGAAGTTTGAAAACCAATGTATTAAAGCTATTTGAACATGTTGCAGGTACTAACTCGAGGTTGACGGCAGGGCTCTCTGCGATGATGAGAATGCCTTGTCGGTCGGCCAGGTCCAGCGCCTCCTCCGCATAGGGGTAGTGCGAAGTGCGGTAGCTGTTGGCGCCGATCCACTCGATGAGGCTGTAGTCGCGCACCAGAAGGGTGTGATCCAGCCCTTTGCCTCGCAGCTACAAAATACCCCCGGAATAATTGAGTTCAGACGACTTTCCCTTTTTATGATTAACAAGTTATAATTTTAAAAGACTGAATTATTAAATATAACAAAACAAATACAAAATGTGATTTTTTAAATATGCATTTCATTTCTTGATTAATTAACATAAAATGTATTACAGTGATAGTGTGGTGAAATTACGAAGTAAATAATGTCAAAGCTCAATTGCCGCTTTCAAAATGGGCCATCCAGTACGTGTTTCGATACTCAGACATCCAACTCTTAGGGCTTATTTTAGAGTAAGTTTTAGTGCAAAAGTCTGAAGCTAAAGAAAACGATGTTTGTACTCACGATTGAATCTTCATGTTTTCCAAATCCATACATGTACATTGGTTTGTTATTGAGGAGAACTGTCGTTTCATTCCAATTAATGGTACGTATACCAACAGGTAATCTGTACACGTCTTTACGTTTTTGTCCGTGATTTAATTGTACCTTAAATGGTATCAAAACAAATGTGTATTTTCATATATTATAGACGTACATATAATATATATGTACTAGGTATCATAAAAAATAAACACAAAATAACTTATCTTTATCAATTGATTTGATTGCTAGTAATAGCAATTAAGACTGCAAATGATTAAAAAACGCTCAAGAGGGGTACATCTACGTGTTAAATTTATTACCAGTTTAAGAACAGATCTTACATTAATAGTAATTGCAGTGTTAAGCCATTTAGTGATTACAGTTTCAAGTCTTATGAGTGTAAAATGTGAGAATTAAAATAAAATGTATACTACATTATATGGGATATTGTGTAAACAAATTTGTTTTGTCGACTAGATATTCTTTCATAAGTAACTAGCAAAACACGTTCTTCGTGACGAAAGAATTTAACACTAAAGTTGTAACAAACCTCAAATAAATAGAGATGACCAGCAGAGTTGCTCATGTGTACAGGCCACCAAAACTTCGCTTTATCGATTATTATGTCCCCCTCACAAAGAGACACTTCGCCAACAGCTTTATTGCTCTCTTCGAGTAGTGTTATCTTGCATGACACTTCATCATCAACTTCATTTTCGGATATGGTATACGAAACATCGAATTGTACCACACCTAACAAAAGATTACTTTGAATTACACTGCATTAACTTTACCATAACATCAAACTTTTACTACATGGAGATTTAGTACCAGATTCCTAGCTTTGAGCGCAGGTTCAAAGGAGGGCGCCAGAACCTCAGTTTTATATTTTAGCAAATTTGGAGTACCCTATGGCGCATGCGCCAAACATGAGCATGCTAAAAGTATGAATGCTACCTACAGGTATTCAGTACAACAGTACCTGTACAACAGTTCAGTACAAGCAACGACATTAAAAATTACGCATTGCATCTTTGCACCTACATATGCGTCTAAAGTAGGCGCTATAAGCATAACTGCATTCATCTGAATACAACATGTTCGACACCAGAATGATTCGGTTTTATTTATTTCATCACTGATCCCAAACAACAACTTAGATCCGGAGTTTTCTTCACCAAACTAAACTCCCCGGCAGCGGTATCACCATCGAGATTCACAACAATCGTCCGGTCGCCAAAGATAATCTTTAGCTATTGTAGATTTGTGCTCCAGAAAACGTGACTTTTAATTTGCCACTCATTAAGTAATTTAGAGAGGTGATTTAGTCATGTTTCCGAAAATGTAAACAAATGTTTCATATTTACCAAGGTCTGAACTTGTATATTGTAATGAACTATAGAAGAAAATCCTGTACTATAGTATACAGAGGAAAAGTAAAAAAAGAAAAATGTGTAGAACCGTTTCCAAACCGGTACCGAAACGTGTTATAAAAAGTTGAATTCAAACTATATTTTTACGCGAAAACAAAATATTTTAATTTATTATTGGAAACCGTAATAAACCAGAAAACTGCACGACATCGTTGGATGTAATAATTGAGTTTAAATGGAAAGTTAAGAAATCGGTTTCTTCTTCAATCCAGTAAGAAATATCTTGCCATTTTTTAAAAATCGGGGATCACAGAGAGCCTTTCAGCAGGTAAAAAGATATATGAGATTTACGATTGCAATTACTTATTCTATTCAGATATAAATATAAAAATGTGTTTTTATAACTATGTTTTCATTTAATGAAATTTGGCATTGAATAACATGTTTGATCTTCTATAAATACATTACTTGGAAGAAATACTTATTTGGGAAAGATACAATACTATTAAAAAAGATACATGGCAACGGTATATAACTTTATTATTAAATTATGTAAGTGAGAAGTAAAAACTAAGAAAAATGTTTACAATTTTATTCTCAAAAAGTGGTAGTAAAATTATTGACGAGATAAGATACTGGACATTTATGGAGAATGTCGGGCAAATCTGGCAAACGAGTAATTCCTCATAGAGAGAAGTTATTACAGTCAAAAGCTGTATTCACTATATCTTTTATGTTCATATTATACACATACGGTAAATTTATGTAAGAAATATATTACTTGCGAGAACGTACAAATGGACTGTGTAAATGTGAACACACACAAATGTGACAAAAGGTGATTAAAGTAATGTTTTGAATATGTAGAATGGAATGTTAAATTAATAAAATCCTTCCATTGATTATTATTATTATATTATTATTATTATTATTATTATTATTATAGTATGGGCCACTACTGATCACGCAACACATTTCTCTCTCCGAGACCCAGTTGTATTCTATTCTGTAGATATCAACATGTGGAATTGGAGACAGTTGTTAGCCTTGAAAGGGGGATAGGATGACATTAATGAATTATTGATATTATTATAATTATTATCATCATTATAGGGTGATGATGAGGGGTGAAAGGGTTAGGATGATGGTAACAGGTGTCAGGTGGGGTAATGCGTGGTGGGAGGTGATAGTGGGATTTTGGAACCATCCCAGCATTCGCCTTATGACCGAGGGAGACCACGAAAACCCCAGTCAGGAGAGCCAGCCCGAACCTTACGATAGCGAATCCAGCGCGCTACGCAATGAGCCATTTCGCTCGGTTGATTAATTATTCATAACACATAATATATTAAATTTACTATTCCTAAAATTAGGAAGTTTGGTGTCACAACAGCAAATTTCTAACGAATCAACGTATGTAGTATTACCAGTGTACTTATTCAAGAAAGATCTAATTCTGACAACAAAAAAGAGAGTGATTCCTCCGCGTGCTTAAAATTTCACGAAACATATTGTGAAGTGGAATTCATTAATAAATATTAAGTTTTTGGTTGCAGATTATAGTTAAGTGACCTTTGAATAGTTCGTTAATTCCATTGTAAACAAGAGTCAACGTCCATGCAGTGACTCACCTGTCTCCCCAATGATTTTTGTATTTATTGTTATGTCGTTGATAAATACATCTGGAACAGTGTGCAAAACCACAGATCTATGAATGCCGGCATAATTGAAGAAATCAAATGTATAATCATTGACAGTATATCCTGGAGGATACCTGAAAAAAAAAAGTGATAACTACATCTACTGTCACTTAAAAATTATTTTCAAAGTAATTTTAAGCTACCACAGTCCAATATTAATTCATTGCATTATTTTGTAATATTCTTCAAATCCTTAATTTTGCCGAAAAATCATCTGGAAAAATCAACTCTTTTTACACTATTTCGTTAATTTAGAAACACATGGAATTAACGTAAAAAATTTTAAAAAGCAAGAGACAAATATAATTAAAAAATAAATAAAAATTACATAATATATTGATAGTATCTTGAAAACATCCAAAGAACGATTATTTTCCGACAACCTTAATATATCCGTGAATGCTACCTTTCAACTAAATCTGAAGATCCATTACAGTTTTAATAAACGTGGATCTGAACACAAACAGGGGAGTGTATCACGGGCCTACCAGCTTTTGGCGCCTAAGAATTTCAATTTGTCGACGACTACTATTAGACAGTAGCGGATATACATATTCTTATCCATTTGATAAAGTATATTCGTTCGGAAACGTCCGAAGAACTTTCTCCGCCGGCACTACTAAGGCGCCTTTGGCGCAAACGATAGTGGTCGTCACTCACATGTCTGTGTCGTTGAAGTAGGCGGTGAAGCCCTGTGGGATGGTGTGTGGGGAGAGCGTGTTGTTGACCGCCACTGTGAGGAGAGACGGGGCGTCGTACTCGAGCAGCGCCGTCACGTCCAGGTCGAAAGGCAGGTGCCCGCCCGAGTGGTTGCCTGCCAGGTGTCCGTTAACCCACTGCGGAGGAACACGCGATAAACAACAGATTGAGCGAAAAGAAGAATTGCAAAGACCCATAAGCAGCAGGCAGTTAACAGTGATCAAAACTTAGAAACCAGAAGGAAATTATGACTAGAATCACACCCTTCGAGAATGAATTACTCAGGATCCTCATATTGAATATCATGATGTTTGGGTGTCAGGGACAGATAATTTGGAAGCTATTTGTTACGTGTCTATGAACTTCATCCCGTAATAGTATTTGCTCCAGCAATTGTGGGTTTTTCCAATAATTTCAGTTGCTTTCCACATACCATTTACTGTCCGTTGTCGTCACTCTTGTGGATTGTCAAAAAACACACTTTTATCAATCGGCAAACTGTTACCTACTCCATGTTCGCAGATATCTTGTTCTGTATTCTTGAACAATCGATTAATTATACCTTCCTCAGGGTTTCGCCAATCTTTTGATCACTTCAAGACGCTACTAATTGGGTATATTAATACGAGTTTTATCTTCAATATCACGATGTAATAGTCATGCGGCCATCTCTTTCGAACTCTAGACAGTGTCTCCCAAAACAAACCTGTCTTCATAGCAGCCCATTACATTACTTAATTATTCGTTCCTTTGCGAGTTGATTCACTCTCGTATCAAGGTCTATTTTCATTTCGTAACGCTATTCATGAAATCCTGCCCGTCCGGGTCCAATGGTAAGGGAAGTTAAATAGAATGGTTCTTTATATACATAGCCCTGTAATTGTATTTTATTAACATCATTTTAATGATATCGAAACAATTTCATACAAAAGTACACTTTGTCACAGCTTCTCCTCTAAAAGTGTTGTCTAAACTGAGGCAAGTTGAGACATGTGTAAAACAAACTAGAACATGATTCAAAGATAGTAATTCATATACAATATCATTCAAATATAAAAAACGCCCCAATAATGTCGATGCATTAATACACTACTTTTTATTTCATATTTACTATTTTCAACTTCCGAATAGCAATGAAATATATTGCATTTCCAGTTCACTAAACATGTACATAACTTAATTTTATGTCTATTTCCTACTTAATACTTACGTTCATTTTACAATACTTAGTGGTACTCTGTGCAAATATACAAGCATATAAAAGTAAAATTTAGTGTCAAGCTTACGATGGGTGTTTTAAAATTTACACGTTAGTAAATACAGAACATTATTTTTAGAGCTTTGAAAACCAAATGAGGTGTATTCAGCTACAAATATTAGATCATATGATTTGATAATGGTCTTGACAAAATAATACATTACTCTAAAGTGACATACGCTTATTTCTTACGTATCAAATACTGAGCCAAGTTCTCTCCATCCTTTGATGCTTGAAATGGTGGCGAAAAATGGCACAGGGCGAAATAATATCTCTTCAGTTTACTTCATCTTCTCAGTTATCTAGATCAGTTAGGAAGATTTGCAATTGAGGAGAATAGAAAGTTTCCCTCTGTACAATATTCCTATTACGTCTCATATTGCAGTGTATCGAAGTCTTGTTTTGAATGTTCAGGTAGATCTACTTTGACAATATCTGGAATGCAGGGGCGGTTGATCTTTAAGAGCACTAGAGCGGCACCCTTCCCAGAAAAAAACATCAGGAAAATATTAAACTTTCAATTATTCAACTCGTTTAATTTGCGCACACCGCCAGTTTTTTTAGAACGAATTTAGTTTTGTGTTCGCTTAAGTACGAGTAAAAGATAAAATGTTCTTAGAATGCGAACTATCGTGAATCCGTCCGAAGCTGGGGTATGCCAGGCAATGGAAGCTTGAGGAAGAGTGGGACAACCGGGATTATTAGCTTGCCTAAGAATACCGACCCTTACCATTTGATTTCATGTATTACTGTTTCCTTTGCTGGATTTTTTTTAAATTTCTTACTTTCGCGTGAGCACAAATGTATCTTCCGTTATCAACGTAAAAGTTGCCTTAGGGCTGGTTTCACCAATATTTTGTTAAGCGCTGCTTTGTTAAGCTGGTTCAAAATTTAAGTTTTAAATTTAAGCGAGCTTAAGGCAAACGCGTTTTACCAGTCACCCGAGGCGATCTCGCGGCGCGGCTTAGCTAAGCGGGTTTCGTGCGTCTTCCGCTAATGTTGGCAACGCTAGAAGTAAACACATTAACGTTTTGCACGTTCTTTGACACAGTTGTCTTCATGCTTTGAAGTTGTTTATACTATTTCGTGGACCATCATTATTTGGTTCAGTCCCTATAGTTAGCTGATAGAGTGTGATTTTTTTTTGTTCATTGTTTGATAATTCTATCAAAATATTGTGCGATCATTATTAATTTTATATTACACGGTCCAATGTCTTGTTGAAAGGAATGTCATAGATTCTTTATTTATATACAGAATAATCATTTTACTTTGCAAACTAGCAAATTGTACAATTACAGCCCTGAAAGTTGGATAGTGAATGAAAACATTGGAAAAGGAAATAAAATTGTCTCACAAAGTTCTGTGCAAAGTCTAGTTTTTCGTAATCGTTATGGACGTATTGAATTTATAAATCGCATATACATACAATACAATTTTGGATATAAGTAACTATTGAACATCAAATTAACAGGATTATAACAAGAATTTCGTTGTGTTCAAATTCGCACTGTATTTAAAATTGTAATACTGTACTAATACAAGCCTATCATAACCTTAACCTGAGTTACAAATATTGTTTTTACTATTTCAAGATACACCTGGAGAAATACTGTTTATTGAAGGTGTAACCTTTCAGTTGTCCGTTATGTAGTTACAACTACGCTACACTACATATCTGTCGAAAGGCGAAAGCGAGTCCAAAGATCAATTTCATCGGAGTCTTCGAAGAAATTTGCCCTCTCGGATCCATCTAGTTTGCTTAGGTGGAGAAATTCTATCTTCAAAGACGTCGTCGTCACCGAATGCACATAGCCTCTCCGACATGTTTCTTTGATCTCCTTAAGCCGACTTACGCCACTGAGCGATCGTTCGGCACGCGCTTATGTACAAAGCGTAGCTTAATGCTAAGCGACGCTTACGAACCATGGTAAAACGCTATTTTGACTTAAGCTCGCATATTTTTGCTAAAGCCTCGCTTAACAATCTTAAGCGGACGTGGTGAAACCGACCCTTAGACAAGGATTATAATTTCGCTGCTTGCAAAGAGGTTGTATACTACATACTGTATTTCTCCTCGTACAAGAAATATTTTAAAGAGGTAAAATGTGTATGATAGTTCGGACATATTTGCCGCCCCTCTTAATTTGCAACCCACCGGTCACCACTGCTGGAACGTCGTAAATTGAAACAGTGTTTCCAAGAAGCGACTTCATCCACCCAAACGCAGCCTCATGATAACGTTTTTTGAATTGGCCATGTAGTGACTCATCTAAGGGCTGTAATCTGCGTCTGGTATGTGGTGGAAACGACACCAGCACTACCCCACTTTCTTTGCAGAAATCCAAACAATGTGAAAATGAAAGGCTGAGCAGCTGCAGACATTTATCCAACTATACTCGTTTCAGGTCTCTTTTTCGTAGTCTTCCTCATGGCTGATTTGTCAAGCCCTCAAAGATGGTCGAAACGTCGCCATCACAGCTTTCGGCGCAGCATCATCCAGACAGCCAAGGGAAGTCGCTGGTCACAGTAGCTTACGACTGTAGTGTTAGGCACACAACGTACGTGTTTTATATTTTGTACAAAACTCATTTGGTTTAATAGTATTCAATTACTTCTGAAGAGGTAGAACTTTCGTTCATCTGCTCCGAATCCAGGCCTGATCGACGAGATTTCGTGTCTAAGAATTGTTAAATGCTTGCATACAGAAATTTTAAACAACATGAATGTTTTGTTGTTGTTTTTTTTTGCTCGCGAATAGGCCGACTTGCGCGTGCATGCACCCCGCATTTTACCGAGATCAATAACATTATCTTGGCAGCAGGTGCATGTATTTTTTTTATGGGATCTGCATTTAGCTATATTCGATTTTTATCCCCTCAGGTTGTTAGCCCTGAGGGTATGGAATATATGATGATAATAGTGATGGGTGAAAGTACAACACACACATATATACAGACATGCACAAACACACCCATGCCCGATGCGGGACTCTGATCGCGAACTTCTGATCCGAGACCGCTACGCCACTACTGCCTTAGCGATCTCCGCCATGAATATTTGAATTTTAACTATTTTCAATTTTTATAACACGTTTATGAAATAATAAAGAAACATATCCACATTTTCCTTTTTACTTTTTTCACCCCTACTTTGCAAGACAAATTGTAATAGTGTGTCTGAAAACATTTTCGACATCATCGACATAAATTTTGTCCTTGGAAAGTGTAAAAGGCTGGAGCATGTCTCATTTTCGTTAAAATACCCATTTTTTTGAAAATTGTATAAGTACAAAATTGCGTGAAATTCAGGACATTGTTAATTTTTTTCAAATACAGCTAAAAAAATTTTCTTTAAATTTTGTCCTCTATAAAGAGGTGCTAATTCCATTTTTGGCTAAATCTGTTTTCCAAAATTGCAGAAGTTAACATTACAAAACTACAACATTCAAGATAAAGATTTTGCTCTATCGATTAACATCTGGCCTAGCAAAACAGCTCTTTTAAAAAGGTCGTGTACATTTTTTTTATTAAAAAGTATAGTTTTCTCGCAAGTTCTAAGGTTAATGCTAATAAAAATTATCAACCGCTTTAAGTTTTTTCTTTCTTTTTCACGAAAGAACGAGGTACATTTAAAAGAAAGGAACAGTTCTCATTTTCGTTGAACTCTCTGATTTTGAAAAATTGTCAATGTAGAATTACGATAAAGTATTCGCTGTTCTAGCACCACTAGTTATAAATATATTTCATTTAGTATAAATGATTCCTCTCCACACTCACTCTTCTCGCATTGGTCGGTGTGTTTTGCAGGCCCAATGCAAACAGCGTTCGACGAGTATAACAAAACACCTTTTAATCCTAACGAAGCTAGGACAGGTAT